TTGATTGCTTTTGTTCTTCTACAGTAGTTCTCTCTGCCGCTGTCAGCCTTTAGTTTTGAGAGCTTCTATTTTTCCTTCCTCTCAGAAGGTAATCTGACATTGACAACAAACTCTAAAGGTCACACCAGAATGTTTTAGGTACGAGCAGGAGGTTCGCCTTCAGATAAACGAAAGTCAAGGGACGTCGGTCGCCACAGATCTAATGTTCATGTGCTCAGCTCACATTCACGTTTTTTTCCCAGCTAGAATGAGCAAATGATTTGACCCAGTTTCAAAGAATGCTGAAAAGAAACTGCTCTCTAATGGCAGTGACCTCAGCACCAGACTTACTTTATCTCTAGACATCACTGCTCACTTCCTGCACCAGTCAGCAGTGACACAAGGCTGAGAGATGGCGGGGTTAAAGCTGAACTCTTGGTAGAAGAGTTCATATGAAGTCTGGCAGAAGTGTTGTTGACACTATCTCTCATCACCGGATCTTGATGAATGTAGAATACAACACTGTACTGGGAGCATGAGATCATCTTTTGTTTTGTGCGCAGTACCACATGTGTCCACTAGATGAAATTTATTTCCAATTCGGTCATTTTTTTACCACAAAGAGTACAAGTGTGACTTTTTTTTTTCAGGACCATTTTACATTTTAGAATCATGTCCATGATTGTTTTTTGTTTTCCACATAGCAAGTGCCAGAACTTCACCAAGTTTTGTACCAATACGATGAAGTAAAAAAATCTTTAAAAAAAAATGTAAATGTAAAATTTTTCAGTCAAATAACCAAAGAGCACCAGAGTGTTAAATTGGGATCACACAAAACAACACATACAAGGCTTTAATAATAAATTACAATTTCAAGTTTATTAAGATACGTAGTGTAACCATCAGTTTAGTAGTCTAATGATTCTCCAAAGTTCATTTCTGAGCACGCCAGTTCACAAACATCCAGACTAGCAGTTCCTAGATGGTCCCATTTCTTTCCAGTTTTCATTTAGTACCCAAAGCAATGGAACATCTGTAAATCTAACAGAAACAGATATAAAATGTCTATTAGAAGTTTTGATGGTGCAGCAATTGTTCCCTTATCACACACTCCTCTACACACACACACACACACACTCACAAGCAGACCATTCTTTCTCTGCACATTTCTTTTTGAGCTGAAGTGAAATTAAATTTCAGGGAACAATAAGAAATAAAAAAAACAGTAATAATAGAATCCATTCTGTGACCACTACCGTCTTTGTACTTAATAATTCTCTGTAAAGAGAGAAGCCACGCTTGGTGGAATAGTGCAGCTCTCTCCTTGATTGCTTTTGTTCTTCTACAGTAGTTCTCTCTGCCGCTGTCAGCCTTTAGTTTTGAGAGCTTCTATTTTTCCTTCCTCTCAGAAGGTAATCTGACATTGACAACAAACTCTAAAGGTCACACCAGAATGTTTTAGGTACGAGCAGGAGGTTCGCCTTCAGATAAACGAAAGTCAAGGGACGTCGGTCGCCACAGATCTAATGTTCATGTGCTCAGCTCACATTCACGTTTTTTTCCCAGCTAGAATGAGCAAATGATTTGACCCAGTTTCAAAGAATGCTGAAAAGAAACTGCTCTCTAATGGCAGTGACCTCAGCACCAGACTTACTTTATCTCTAGACATCACTGCTCACTTCCTGCACCAGTCAGCAGTGACACAAGGCTGAGAGATGGCGGGGTTAAAGCTGAACTCTTGGTAGAAGAGTTCATATGAAGTCTGGCAGAAGTGTTGTTGACACTATCTCTCATCACCGGATCTTGATGAATGTAGAATACAACACTGTACTGGGAGCATGAGATCATCATGCTTGTTTTTGATAATTTTGAAAATTATGAAACATTTTTGGGAGCCTAAAAACACAAACATTTGAAAATGGGTTTCATAGCGCAAGTTTTTGAAAACAGTACTGTTATTGTTTCTGTGTAAACTACAAAAATGGAAATTTGTGAACACGGTGACGTCATACGCATATGTATTACATGTTCAAACTATAGAGTGGTGGAACTATGACGTCACTTTGTATGTGGATCGACTGTTAGCATCGCACTGGTTCCCTCGACAAAAAGCCAATGGGATTTTTCCATAGGCTTTTGGATTATCGCAAAAAAAATAAGCTCTACTCTTGGTAGAAGATTTCATATGAAGTCTGGCAGAAGTGTTGTTGACACTATCTCTCATCACCGGATCTTGATGAATGTAGAATACAACACTGTACTGGGAGCATGAGATCATCATGCTTGTTTTTGATAGGCCATATGCATGGAAGACTGAATGATTTTTGACAGCCTCTTATTATTGAAATATTCTACTTGTAAGGAAAAATGCACCAAAAAAACTGAAAATTATGAAACATTTTTGGGAGCCTAAAAACACAAACATTTGAAAATGGGTTTCATAGCGCAAGTTTTTGAAAACAGTACTGTTATTGTTTCTGTGTAAACTACAAAAATGGAAATTTGTGAACACGGTGACGTCATACGCATATGTATTACATGTTCAAACTATAGAGTGGTGGAACTATGACGTCACTTTGTATGTGGATCGACTGTTAGCATCGCACTGGTTCCCTCGACAAAAAGCCAATGGGATTTTTCCATAGGCTTTTGGATTATCGCAAAAAAAATAAGCTCTGTGTTCAATCATAGTTCATGAAACTTACACGTTTTGTCCATCAAGATAATCTTCACAAAACAATATAACTTTTATGCATTTTGAAGCCAAAATAAAAGCACCAGAACTTAAAAGCTAAACTTAGGCTATAAACAAACTACACCACCACTGTCGCTTGCCTTCAACGTCACCACCACCACGCTCCCGACAACTTTTTCAAACTTATTTTTAACGTGTTTAGTGAAAAGGATTTACTCTGTGGATCAATTTTAATCCACGCTACATTTACCACATTTCAGCTATCGTATTGTTAGGATAGGTACACAAAATGTTATTTTATCCTTGCTTCTAGAAAATCCTCAATCTGCTTTCTAACAGCTTCTTGTGGCCGTAAACATTTCATTTTAACGTGGCTTTAAGCACTATGCATCGTTAAAGTTTCACTTTCACCGTGACTAAGCTGGTAAATGTGGTGTTTACATGGAATAATCATATGATTTTACCTTATGGTCCGAACCCAGAGTCTCCGCATCAGTAAGCGATAAAACGAGCATCTTGTGTTGCATTTCGGGGCAAAGCAAAAAAAAAAAACATTGTCGAACAACAATATAAAATGCGGTAAACCATTAATTGGTTATTCTACAATTAATTGTACTATAAATTATACTACAATCGGAAAATACTGTAAATTGATAAACTGTTCGGCGTGATGACGTTTAATGTCTCCGACAGCGCCTGTAGTCCCATTTAGCAACTTGTTAGCAACTGTCTTTTTTAAGAAACGTAACATTTTACAAAAAAATCACGAGTGGGGTGTAACTGGTGTGTTTTATGTCGTAGAATAAAACGGGAAAGTATCTTGAGCTTGTGTGAAACACAGACCTTATTAAAAAAAAACATTGACTCTGGGACGATGGAACCGGAAGTGCTAAAATGCTAACTCGCTTCCGGGTTTTTGCCTGCAAAGTGACACCATAGTTCCACCACTCTATAGGAATGCGTATGTTGGCAGGCACACAATGTTTTTTACAAAGTGACATCGCCAACTACTGGCCTGGCATGCATAGTACAGCATTTTTAATTGTTTTCGCAAATCCGCGTGACAGCGGAATGTTTTGACAACGTTGCCTTCTGTATTCGAAACTTTTCAAAAATGCAAAGGAAAAACCTTTCTGTTTTTAGGTGTTGTGTTAATATTCCCTTATAGAATCCCAAAATGTATCAGGTTTAATTTAATATATCAACACTTCCACTTTCTGTAAATAACTTTGTTGAAAACAAGCAGTGTTTTCATAATTACAGCAGAAACACCTTAGGAAATATCTTAGATAATTTTGGGGGACTTTGAGTTTTACAATAATATTTCAACCCAAATTTTTTATACAATGAAAGTTAATTGGGTCAAAATGATCAAAAAAGCACAGCCAAAGTTTCATAAAAGCAGTTTTTACAACTCAATTCGAATATTCCAAATCTTCAGAAGCATTTTTGTCATTTTTACACCCTGAAAACATTTGTCCCCATTTACATTCATTGTGTTTCAATAAACATTTATCTAAATTTCTCCTTATGTGTTCCATGGAAGACAGAAAATCATAAATGATAAGAGAATTTCATTCTCTTTTCATTCAAACTTAAACTAAAACAGTAGAGCATAGCCTTAGCAACACCAAGGTCATAGGTTTGATTCCCAAGGATTTTTTATTTATCCTTTATTTAGCCAAGATAAATACATTAAAAAATCCCTGGGAATCAAACCCATGACCTTGCTGTTGCTAGCACCATGCTCTATGTAACGTGGGGTTTGGGTTTTGTGTCTGGTTTAGGTTTTCATGTCTTTTATTTTGATATTTAGCCATGTTTCATGTTCCTGTCATGTGATTCCCTTGATCCTTATAGGTGCGTTCGACTTGAAGCACGGCTACAGACGGCGATCAATCATTGTTGTCATGGGGTGAATTTGGCCAATCGTGAAACAGCTGTGTCGTCATCAGCACTCCTGCAGTCGCTCTGAAAAAGTTGCGCCAGCTGAGTCAGCCGGCTACTCTCAAAACGCTATCGCGGTACTTTGATGCCACACCTGACAGTGACGTGGCGCCGGTTCAAGTCGGCATGCACTGCTTCAAGTCAGCCGCCGATCGGTCTGCTCAGTGCTGCATGAAGTCGAACGCACCTTATGTTATCCTGCCTAGTGTATGTGTCATGCTCTGATTGGTTGATTTAGTTATGTGTCTTGTTCCTCATTGGTTATTGTCCTGTCATGTGACTCTCAGTTCTGTTTGCTCATTGGTTGATTCTTATCATGTGTCCCTTAGTGTTTGATACAAATAGCCCTCATGTTGCCATTGTTCCTTGTCTAGCTTTATGATGTTGTAACCTGCTGTCGGTGAGTCTAGTTTGTTCAAGTCAAGTCAAGTCTGTTCAAGTCAAGTCAAGTCTTTGTTTGTATTTTGGATTTCACTTTGTTAAATAAAAGCTGCACTTGGGTTCTTACAACTTGCCGTTCAGTGGACTGCTTGTTACACTCTAAGATTTAAGCTTGAATTCCTCCAGGGAATGCATGAAATGATTGAAAACTGTTTACCTTCAATGCGATGCAGTCGCTTTGGATAAAGGGACCTGCCAAATGCATAAATGTAAAGTAAGTCAGCCAGCAAACTTTAGTCTTTAAGACCAGAAAATATTTTACAGCAATTCTCATGAATATTATTATTTAGGTACACTCTTAAAACTGCCTTGAAAATGTTCTAGTGGGAATAATTGACCTTGCTCTTTGGATGGGTGGTGATAAAATTGTCCTTGAAGTAGAAAGTACCCATTTACACTCCCAATCTTGTCAAAGAGTTTAAGGTTGCTGATATTGTCTCATCTCTGGCACATAGGAATCACATGGATTTTGCATATTGCAGCTCGGGGAAAATCTGCCCTGTGGAGAACCGTGACAGCCCAAGGATGTGTTCTGAAGGCCTTCAGACAATTTGGAGAGAAAAAAAGTGCTAAAACCACTGTAAACTCCTCAAACCAGGTGGGTTTATATATATCGTTATTTGAGTCCAAATTAAGTCACATAAGTAGCCATTTTTTGGTGGTCACAAACTTCTTCCCATTCAAAGTCTTTACATAAAACGTCTCCATTTACGTGCTGCATTTGAATTTAATAGTCCCTGATATTTTGATATGTCATTGATCATTTACTGAGGTTTATTTGTGGCTAAAATGAGGCTTAAGTAGCTCATAGTCTAGATTTGCCAGCTGATCTCTAAAGATGCAAGTGTTTAGAAGAAAAATTAGTTCATTATTGTATGGCTTGAAGTAAATCCATGATGCGAGGACACATATCATCCCTTCAAAAATGTAGGATGAGGAGTGTTATTCTTAGCCTCTTCTGGCATTTGGTTCATGGAACTAAGAAAATGTGTGTCTGAAAAAGATGGTGGAGGCTTAAACATTAAAGTAATTAGACTCAATAGCAGCATAGGAGAGAGAGAGGAAGACGTGATCGTAAATCTTTAGCACGGCCAAGTTTATGACAGAAGAGGATAAGAGATGTCCAGAGAGAAGATGAAGAGATTAATTTGGCCACTGCACTTCACTGCAGGGATTCATGGAAGCAGTTGTTCCCAAGTGCTTCCTGGCTCTTTAGGTTTCAATGTTCTTGATTGCAGCGGGATGTGAGCTGAACTGGATCAAGCTGCTGGATGACTCATCTTTTGGACCAGCTTTTAAAAGCCCATCCACAATTAGTCAGGGGTATTGCCCTGTTTTCTCAAGTACAGGTGGTCGTGTTAATCGGACCGGCATGCTAATTGGGATGCATCTGTCCTTGTAATCAAGGGCAGCTACCTGGATAACTGCAGTAGACATGCCGGCTATAGGAAAGTGTTTTGTAAAACATTTCATGGGTCACAAGAAAGCAACAGACCATTGCCCCACCACACCACCTTTGTTCAATCTGCAGAAGAGCCAAAAAAGCCTTGCACTTTCTTAGTGGAGTCCACTTTTTGGAAAATCCAGCCGTCTTCGCTGTCAGCACACACGAACAGCCACATTTATTCAACCTGCTAAATTAATCAGTGTTTGGGCTACCAGGAGTAAGCCAAGGCACTAAAAGCCACTGAATTTTCTATTTTTGTTCTGTTTTTATTTTTTTGCTCTATTTTATTTATTTGGTCAATTTAATTTGTTCATTTGTTTTTCATTTCTTTCTTTCTTTATAGCGTTTACAGAAACTATAACAAGTTAAAAAAAAAAATTTCGTACTATGCTTAGTTTTTATTTTAGTATTTTGGTGCTGATAACATTAATGCATTAACTGATATAATAATAAAAAAAAAAAGTTAAATTTCTCAGGGCCATATATCGCTAGGGATATCGCTGTCTAGTGCCACACTAATGCCCTGTGTCTCAGTTTTTGCACAATTGGAAAAAAAATGTATGGTTTTATTAATTATCTTATGCTGTTTGCCCTCAAGCAATGTGTTTCATAGGACAAGTATTGTGTTATCCCCAAGTTACTGAGACATGTCATAATGTTTTTTCTGTTTTTTGTTTTTTTCCTTCTCAGTTTGCCGTGTACATTTGGTATTGATTTTCAGGAAATGGGCTTACTTCTGTTTGCTAGACAAGGATATTACTATGAGAATAATGTGAACCTAGCCAGATGATCTGCTCAAGCGTTTACCCAAACAAAGACGATGAATGCGTCGGTAAATCAGTGGCTCTTTGGCTTGAGCTCTCTGACCCCCAGCCGCATCCAATAGACTCCTATTGACTCCCATACCAATGTGGAGACAAAAATGGTAGCTGGCCTGACAATAAATCAGACCGTGTTGAGTTTCCAGCTAGTCCTTCACTAAATGAGTTTATCAGCATCTTAAATTTAGTGAGGGGTCATGAGAAGGATCGTCTGGTATTTTACGAAATAGACCATATAAGGTTTATCAGTCTTTTAGCTAATTCAGATTTAGGCAATGTCGATTTGTGAACAGACACCAGATGATCTGCTCAAGCATTTACCCAAACAAAGTCGATGAGCCGTCGGTAAATCAGTGGCTCTTTGGCTTGAGCTCTCTGACCACCAGCCGCATCCAATAGACTCCTATTGACTCCCATACCAATGTGGAGACAAAAATGGTAGCTGGCCTGACAATAAATCAGACCGTGTTGAGTTTCCAGCTAATCCTTCACTAAATGAGTTTATCAGCATCTTAAATTTAGTGAGGGGTCATGAGAAGGATCTTCTGGTATTTTACGAAATAGACCATATAAGGTTTATCAGTCTTTTAGCTAATTCAGATTTAGGCAATGTAGATTTGTAAACAGACAAAAAAAAAAAACTGTTAAAAATAGAGAAGGAACACATTTCTCTAGCAATTAAGTGTCATGGTCTTTTACCCCCTGCATTCCAGCTGTTGCCATTAAAAAAATGAATATACCATTAGTTTACCACGATTTGTTGCAGCTCTCCAGAGAGTAGCCATGAAAAACATCAGTAGAAGAACATCTCAGGGTGACATCCCTGTGGACCTCAGAGTAAGGAATGACCATAAAGAGACCCCCGTGTTTCACCCCCATGTCCTGATGGAGAGAGGTCAGAGGTCATGAGGAGCATGGATATGTCCATTCCCAAAGGGGCTGAAGGGTAATGGAATGGCAGATTCAGGCCAAACAGAGCAATTTGTGCTTGTCCCATCTGAACCTGGAAGAAAAGAGAAAGACATGAATTTGACCGAGGTAAGCACTATAATGACTGTTTGGAAGACTGCTATAATGTGAAACACTGAGCATATTAAAATGTATGTGATACAACTGTTCAAAATAAGTACGATTTTTAAAAATAATTGTACAAAATTAAGTTTTCAACTGTTTTTTTTTTTTAGCACCAAATCAGCATATTAGAATGATTCCTGAATGATAATGTGACACTGAAGACTGGAGCAATGGAACATTCAGCTTTGCCATTACAGGAATAAATTACATTTTAAGATATTAAAGTAGAAAAGTTTTTTAAATTATGAATTCTAATTAACAGTTGTTTTAAATTTATAATAATATTTCACTTTTTTTGCGAAAATATTTTATGTATATAGTATACAGTCTTTTCTACTTGGCTGTTTTTGTTTTTAAATGCCACGTTGAAATGAAATATTTCCATTTTGTACCAGTGTTTTACACCAGCATGCTGGGTTTGCATCATGATTTTACAGACCCAACATAGTACCAGCATTTTGTACATGTATTGTATTGATATTTCCATGAAGTCAACATTAGCCTAAATTATAAGCTTAACATTGATTGCAAATTCCTGCTGTCCACCGACTAGACAGACCTGTGACCCATTTTAGTGCTGTGACCCACCAGTTAAGAAGCACTGCAGAGTGTTATTGGCTGTTTGCCATGATCAGTGTGCTGTCTGGTCTGGTTATGGGCTCTTCACCTGTCACCTGTCAATCATGGATGACAAACCCCTCCCACTTACTAGGCCCAGTCTGTCACAGGGACAGATGTTTACTAACCCTTAAAATTGCTGTTTAAGCATTGTGTTTGATAGAGTTAACATGTTCAAACATGCTAGTTCTTCACTTTTGCTTACATTAAATTGGTGTGTGTGTGTGTCTGAATAAATGCTGAGTGCAAATAAACGTTATATGTTTGACAGCATGCGTGAGGGAAAGCAGAGGTCTAGATGTGCTTGCTGTCTGTCTCTGTTGTTAATCAGATGCGTTGGTCTCCAAGCTGATTTTCCTCCCAACCTCCTTCAGGCAGTATAACAATAGAGCCAGGAGCCCTCTTCACCCCTCAGACAGCCCAACATCCAGATAACCTGCTTACAATGCTTCAGCCCACATGGAAACGGCTGTTTTATGGCCATTATCAAGCCGTTGTGATCCCTTTGTGTAGATTTGTATGTTTTTTTTTTCAACTTTTACAGTATGCAAAGAGTCTGGTATTTGCAGAGATTTTCCTTCGTCTCCCCTGCCTCCCATCCATCTGCACGTCTGTCTTCTCGCTAATGAAAACTGTCAGCTACCAGCGTCTGTAGGCCCAGCAAATATGATGTGATGTTTCTTTCCATTTATTTTATACCACAAATTATATGTAGCGTATTAAATGTGATGTTTGTTTCCATTTTACTCCTTGAGGAGATTTCTGTGGCGCTGGCAGTAATTAACAGTTAGTATTCTGTCTTTTCTCATTAGTTTTCAAGCCTGGAAAATATCCAAACAAAATCTTATTCTTGAGTACTGGAACAAACCAGGCTATAAGACTGAAGACATTAAAGTTATGAATCAAGGAATGGGTTTTGCATAGTAGGGAGCTTCTCCTACTTCTTACACATTTTGAATGTTTGTGAATATTAAAAAAAAATATTTTCTTGCCAGTGGTTCAAAAAGAATCAACACTTACAAAAAATATGCAATAACTAAATAAAATATAAAATAATACAATAATTATTACAAAAACATGCTAATATTGTATTCACTTCAATAAATAAATAAATGTATTAATATATTTATTTCTACTTCTACTATTACTACTAATTGGACCTTTTTAAAATAAGGGAAATTAGATAGATAGATAGAGTTATGATAAATTGTATATATATTTTGAATTTGATGTTTGTTTCCATTTTACTCCTTGAGGAGATTTCTGTGGCGCTGGCAGTAATTAACAGTTAGTATTCTGTCTTTTCTCATTAGTTTTCAAGCCTGGAAAATATCCAAACAAAATCTTATTCTTGAGTACTGGAACAAACCAGGCTATAAGACTGAAGACATTAAAGTTATGAATCAAGGAATGGGTTTTGCATAGTAGGGAGCTTCTCCTACTTCTTACACATTTTGAATGTTTGTGAATATAAAAAAAAATTATTTTCTTGCCAGTGGTTAAAAAAAAAATCAACACTTACAAAAAATATGCAATAATAACTAAATAAAATATAAAATAATACAATAATTATTACAAAAACATGCTAATATTGCATTCAGTTCAATAAATAAATAAATGTATTAATATATTTATTTCTATTTCTACTATTACTACTAATTGGACCTTTTTAAAATAAGGGAAATTAGATAGATAGATAGAGTTATGATAAATTGTATATATATTTTGAATTGTACTAAAATGGTCAATTTGTGGTAAGAAAATACATGTATGTGATTAATATCATAAATTGATATATAAATGTATAAATTAATATCATAAATCAGAAATTGTTGGTATGGCAACATTTAACTACTGGCAGGTAAAGTTGTGGAGCATGTTTTGTCAGGATTAGTAGATAAGAGGACTTGGCTGACCAAAAAGCAATCTTTTTATTATATGTATAGATTAATTCTCATTTTTGTGTCTCGACTAATCATCTACAATCTGCCTTCCAGCTTTCCCACATCAAGTGCATTCAAATGAGCCACAGTGACATAGGGGCTGCTGGGATGTATTGATGCCCAGGTGACAAAGCTGATCCTGGGGGGATAGAGAGATAGATCCGCTTTATCTGCTCTCCCCTCCAGCGCCACTAACCACAATCAGAGCCACCGTGAGCTGCTTCAACTCTGGAAGAGCAATGAGACCCTGGAGACCAACCAAGCTATCGCTTTGATCTGAGAAAGAGAGAGAGAGAGACAGAGAGAGGGAAGGCCCTCGTATTGCCCTGGCCCTTTAGGAGAGGTCATAAAAACCGTCTCCATTAGGCAGACGCTTCAATCTCGGCACCAATATTTACTTTACAGGCCTTCATCAGTGAGATCATTCTAGACTGAGTGTCTCTGTCTGTTGCATTTGAGATACAATTACTAAAGCGTTTGCTTGATTTCCATTAACATTGTGTTAAAACGTGCTTAAAGCTCTGGGATGCAATCAAAGCTGCAAAAAGCAAATTATATCAAAAGCCCAAATATGTTAGACTAAATGACTTTTTTTTCTAGGTAATAACTAACCTTTTAATTAAAGATAAAAGTTTTTAATTTCTATTTATAAATGGAAGATAGGACATAGGGTGATGACCTCATATATTTTTATCAGATTTTCATTAAATGCGAATGTTAGGGGTTGGATTTAAAGGTGAGATGATCAGATACTTGTATGTGTAATATTGAAGGTTAATACTGGGATATGTGTGTATAAAGTCTGAGATCAGACTGAAAATTTCAGCTTTTTATTTTTATTTTTTTAATTATACTTTGAAATAGACAAAGTTATAGAAAAGTTAGGGCATACAATAAATATTTAGATTTTGCAATATAATGTATAATATAATAACTAGTATAAATCCTAATAATAATTCTAATCTAATTTAATATATACATTTAATATTTTATAGAAATTAATTTGTCTTCTAAAATGTAAATACAATTGGCATTCTGCTGAAAATTATGGTCTCAAATGTTTGACCCAGCTTCATATTTATAATATATTGTGTAGATATGTCTGATACTGACATTGCAACATCCATCTGATCTAGATATATAATGTGTCTAACATCTTAACCTAACTCTCTTTTTCACACACATATAATAGTCTTTGTGACAATATATGCAGGCTGAAAGAGTGAACCTGGAGCTCATTAGTGTGTGTTGACATGAGGAAACGAGAGTCTGACTTCCATCAGGGCTCTGATAGATCACATCAGCGCTGGACTGCAAGCAGGTATCGATCAGCCTGGAGGTGTGTGTGTGTGTGTGTGTGTGTGTGTTGGGGTGTTTGAGTGGCACTATCGGTCTATACCTTGTAATATAGCCCAGTATGAGGCCTGTCTGTGTGCTGCTGTCTGCAAGACTCCCCACCATGATGTTCAACAAGGCATGAGAGTTCATGTATTGCTCAAATAGAGAGACTCTCAGAGACTAGCAGTGTGTGTGTGCTTGCGTGTGTGTTCATTGTTCTTTTTTCTAGGTGTATAGCTTAATTTCTGTTTCCTTTCTCAGGGGTGTTTATAACAGAAATTACAGCAGTACATGTTAGAGCTTGCATGTTAGTGTGTATAAGCTCTGAATTTCTCCTGTCTTGTATGTTTCTTCTTGTGTTTGCAATGATCGTGAAAGTATTGTGGAATGCATGACTCTGATTGGTCCATCATGTAATTCTGAGGTCAAATAAGGAATAATTGACAACGGGCAGTTGAATTATTCGAAAAATAAATGCACAGAGTCAGAGTCAAAGAATCGGAGTCAAACTGCTCAGATGGCGGGAAAAATGTTGGTTTGGTCAATGTTTTTGTGGCTTTTGGTTCTTTTTCTGTTGTAGGCTATAAGGACTTTGAAATAACTGAAATAATTTGGCAAAGTGATATGGAACTGTAATGTCGTCAAGACCTGTCTGGAGCTACTTTAGCCTTACTTTTAACTGAAAAATAATTGCACTTTAGAACGTTCGTCAACCAATCAGATTCAAGTATGCAACAGTGCTATATAACTTTGTGTAATCACACTAAACCAAATTCCCATTTTAATTTGTAACGATTTTACATTTTGGGTGAATTAGTGGTTCATTTGTAGCATTGCATTGCTATGGACCTTCAATGCTTGTTTGCTAAAAAAACATGTTTCTATATGAATGTACAAATTCATGCAAAATCGCCACTTTTGTAAAATTGTTACATTCTCATGAAATTGTGTTGACTAAACCGAGAGAGTAAACTGAATTATTCGCAGCTGACAGCTGATTTCTTAGACTGTTGTGCTAGCGATAACTTCAAGTAGTCATAAGACTAATATGAAATCAGTATTTCATATCCATTTATTTATTTGGAAAGTAGCTTGTTCATTTTAGGCTCCTGATCACTTTTTCGAGGTTTATTTTGTGATAATGGCCATCAGACTGTATATTATCCCTAATATATGTGTCAAAGTCAGTTAGCCGGGACTCAGACTAGGAACACCCAAATACACTGTTATCAGGGGTAATAGAGCTCTGTCAGGGGCAAGGAAGGGGGTGGAGGAAGAGACAACCCTCCCCCGACAACACAGACACATGTGAGAGGAGAAATCTGAGCTTATCGCCGTCCCACATAGTCCCTTGAGTCTGATTATTCCCATCTCAACCCCCTAACTCTATTTTTACTCAGGCCTACAGGATAGACACATGTCAAAACATCAAAACATAGTGAAAAGGGGTTAGAAATAAGAGGAAATATGACATTTTTCCAAGTTTACCTCTTACAGTCTGGAGCCAGTTCAGTCTAGATTTATTGATTGAACTTTATATTGCTTCTGTTGTATTGAGTAAATATATTAAAAGATTAATAATGTCCAGGATTGATCCCGAATGAAATTGAGTGGAGAGCCTCACGGCTAAACTCATAATACACCTCTACACTTGAGGTTTGGGTTATTGGAAATTGTTTTATCACCAATAATTTATCATCCGCTTGTATTAGCGTCTCCAGTTTTCACAGTGCACCAATGCTTTGTTAAACCCCAAGACTTTTCTCAGTGTCTTTATTAGCAAAACATGTGTTGGAACAGCAGGATTTTATCTTGGTTAAGCTCTTGGAAACAACGCTGGAATATCAGCATCCCACCTGGCCTCTGAACCTGCTACTTGCTGGTGTCATGTCCAATTTCCTTTCTGCTTTCTCTCCTGTCGGCTCCTGAATTGTCCATCTGCTGGAAATATGTCTGTCAGTCATGTGGCACATACACACTACCACTCAAAAGTTTGGGGTCAGACACTTACAGGATGTAAGTACTCCCATACAGCTGTAGCCACTGCTCACAAGGCACCTGACATCCTGGAGGGCTAGAGATCACAAAAAACTGGACTGAAATATTAGGGAGATTATTAGATCATATGGATGACTGATATAGCCAAATATTTTTCAGCCTCATATTTGATATCCCTATGTATTCGCTCTGTGATTTTTATTTATTTATTTTTTATTTTTTTAAATGAACACATCATATAAAAGTGCATTTTTATAAGATACACACTCACACATAAATATATTGCCAGCTTCCTCACTACTAACTGTGTGTTTAGTCAAGGATTCATGGCATCCTCTGACGTGACCTGAGATAATCATAGACAACTACCTTAAAACAAATGCACACACTCACACACACTCCGTGTGACCCTCTCTCTTGCTGACAGGTCTGTCAATGGCCCACTATCTGAACTGAAGATGACCAGCAGGAATGGCTTCCTGTCCTCGCGATGACCCGCAGTGTGTGTGTGTGTGTGTGTGTGTGAAGATGTCCATCCACAAAAGCCCCATCCATGCACTTAATCATGTTCTAGCCACCAGCTAACACAGACTGTCTGGAGAAGACACAGGCAATTGTGGACTGTCAGTAATCAGCATGGCATTTAGTCATTCCCTGCCAATTAGTGAAGCATTACCTGCCCCAGGTCAATGGCAGAGCTGCACGGTAGCCGGCTGATGAAACCGGAGCGATGTGCACTTCACAGAGGGATCATCTGATGTCACCACTGCTGTACCACTACTTCAGTGCACAGAGGGGCCAGGCCTTATCCTCCATCACCTGTGCAACGCATGTGAGTGGAACATGCCTGTCAGTGGACTAAAGGGGCGAGTTCTTGGAAATGGATGATGTTATGGAGAACAGAGCAGGTATTCAGGCAAAGGACACCTTGAAAATATTTCATGAGACTTTAACAAAGATGTTTTTGTGCGTTTAGGAGACAGGGACTAGTGGGGAACTAAGAAACAGAGCATGTAGCAGTGTTTTATCCATTGTGTTTGAGTCTCAGTGTGACTGCCTGGCTGCCCTGTCAGTGACTTTAAGGTCTGTTGGCTAATCAGTCTCATTTTGCCTCATTAGCCGCCTGCGTGGGGCTTCCTTCAAACCGAGATGATGTATGACCGGGCCAAATAGTCTTCTGGCTGCCCTCAGGGGTAATACAGGAATGAAATACATGTGTGTGTTAAACAAAAAGGACAGATAGAGCACCGTAAGTGTACATTCAACTGGTAAAAGGAAATCGCATGTTAGGCCTCTTTAGTGTGCCAACCGTGTCTTCTAGACTAAAATTAGATTAAAAGGAAAGAAAATGGAGAATTTTGTTTAACAGTTTGTAGATTTCTTATTTTTAAATAAAGCTTTGTCTGCAGCTTTTGTAACAATTTTAATTACATTTGAAAATAAATCAGATTATACAAATTAATTTTAATAATTACAAAATTACAGTAATTAATAATATTTTCTATTTTCTATTTATATATATAAATATAAAAATTTGATTAATTATATATTATATAATAAATTAGATTTTTTTTACATAAGCAAAAATCATTGGTTGCTAAGGACAACCAATTTTATGATTAATATTCAATTCTAATTTATTTGTTTAATACTTTTCACAATAAATAGTGTTCCAGGACAGTTTGACAGTTAACTTTGACACTAAAATATTATATTTATTTAATATTTTATATTATTAAAATTGTTTTATTATTATAAATATTATTTTGTGTTACATTCATCTAATACTTCTCAGTTTTCTCTGCCCTCGTAATCCAAACACGTGTCCACTAGAAATCTAAATATGACTGTGATGTTATGCTATTTATATTAATTGTATATCTCTGTACTTTCATTGTATGTCAACAATTGTCCATTTTTTTCTATTTTCCTTTCCCATTGTGAATTTTAGGTAAAAAGAATAGGGAA